CGACGTCTGACACCGTTTAGGGAGACAAACATCCGCGAACAACAAGCAGGATTTCGGCCAGGCCGGAGGGGTGTCGATCAAATTCTCACTCTGCGTCAAGTCCTCGAGCTAGGCCATACGTACCGTTGGCCAACGGTTGTCGTGTTTCTTGACCTAAAAGGAGCCTTTATCTCAGTTGACCGCGAATCCCTCATGGGTTCGCTTCTTCGCCGCAGAAGTATGTGAACATATTGAGTTCACTCTACTCACGAGGCATGAAGAAATGCACAGAGCCATTAGGTAGAGTAGGTGTCTCTTGGCTTCCGGGTTGGGGTTCAAAAGACTCCGAAACCGCACGGTTGGAGACACTGAAGATCATGGCCGCGAACCGACAGCAATGGCGAGCATGCTGTCACTTCTTATCGGACCAGAATGCTTGAAATAGTTGTATGCACAGCTGGACTGTATACTCTGTATGTTGATCATAGAGGTCCAATCCCTGTTCTCCTAACACATTATCACTTACCTTGTATGCAATGAGTTTGGCAGCGATCAGTGAAGTTCGCTTCATTGTATTACGCTGTACAATGATGACAACCGAACAACAGTTTCTCTTGTTATTTTCAGCAGCAATGCAAAAAGCCAGTATATCAGCAAAACCTAACCGCAAACGAACTAAAATCATCCGTAGCTTTGGCCAAACAGCAGGTTGGAATAATTGTTGAAGGTACAAACTTGGGCAATATCCCCTAAATATTGCTACCTACCTGATGGTAAACATTGGATGGATGAGGTAAGGCTCCACAGTCTTTAACCGATCGGATGCAGCACGAATCGGGAACACGTAAACCATAACCGAAGAGGTCTAGCGCGTCTTCTTTGCTGCTATTTTGAAACACGCTTGATTTCCAGTCATGGTAAGTTTTTGAGCCGCAGCATTTGAATTTTTGTTGTACCAAATCCACTGCTCTGTCAACGTCATTGTATCCACGCGAGTATCTTTCCTGTAACGTGTACCTTAGGCGTCCGGCTAGCCATTCTTGAAACAGGTTGGAAAAACAAAAGGCTAATATCCCAGTGGCCAACTGGATCACCAGAACGATTGCCAGAGTCCATGCGTACTAAAAAGTAATTTGCAACACAAATCTTAAAAGCTTACTGTGAGAAGAAGGCATGAGTCTCCGTTTGCCGCCCCGAGAAAACCAACAATGCATGTAGCTATCAGTAGTATGCCCACCGCGAACAACAGAAAATGGTTTATGTAGGCAATTTCACCCAATAAGTTGGGGACGAAAGAATATCTCACAATGAGTAGATAGGCGCCCAGTGATATGAGAGCGAGTGCGATAAGCTGAACCATCCCTTAAAACAACAC